ACAGTTTTTTGACCGCCCTGGGACTTACTCGATTAGAATGGTTGAATCGGCCGCTTTACCGGTTAGGCCGGTTAAACCACTTTTGGCCCCATGTCCGGTTAACCATTCCAGTTCGATTTTGCGAACACTGTTCAAGACCCATACCTTGCTTAAGCCAACATCAACTAATGTACCGGCAGGCATCGAAGATTTGGCTTTCATGGTTATACCTGTGCAGTGGATTAACAGGTCAAAGCGATGCCCCACAGGTTCTGAAAAATAATCAGGAAAGTTGCACATGGATATCTTCTACATCATGACAATTGCAAAATAAATTACTCTCATATCTGTAAATAACAGGAGAAGTTAATTTAAAGCCCCAAATATATGAAGTATAAAAGATTCTTATGGCATTGTCCAAATTATTCAAATTTCACAACATCCAATATAATTTCCATTGCTGAATCTTCCATAAAGTATTCTCAAACTGAATGCTTTGGATAGACAAATATAAAAAGGGCAAAGGTAATAGCCCTAATGTTCAATTACAACATTACTCATTACGAGAAATGTACAAGTAGGACACTATAATTGTAAATTGATATCTTCTAAATACCAATCAAACAAGAAAACATGGATACCCTCATCAAGACATTTGTAAACAACTTATCTTTAGTAGGGAAAGGAAACAATATTTTTTAAGTCTCATATTATCATCATCATCATCATCATCATTGTAGCCTTTTTCAAATTAATTGGGGTCGGCTATACAAATCTTGATCCACCATTCTGTTCTATTAAAGGCCATACACCCTCAGTGTGGCCATAAGTCCCCATAATTTTTCGGACCACTTCCAACCACGTCCTTTTGGGCCTGCCCCTTGCCCTTTTCAGTCCTTCTACTTGAACTAACTCGCACCTCCTAATAGGTGTTATACTTGGTTGACACCATACATAGCCAGCCCACTTAAGTCTACTCTCACTCATCTTATTGCTTATTGATGCCATACCTAAATTCTCCGGAATTGATTCATTTCGAATTCTATCCCTTCTTGGCTTGCCACTCGTTCCATCTCAACATCCTCATCTCCGCTACACTCATTCTATGGGTATATTATTTTTTTCCGCTCAACATTTTGCCTCGTAGAGCAAAGCTGGTCTCACAGCTGTCCTATAGAACTTGCCCTTCAGTTTCACTGGTATGCAGCGATGCACATCTCCACTTTACCCACACAACAATTTGGTGAAGCAAATTCACACTCACTGCTTTGGTGTAAACAAGGGCAAAAGCATAGTTGTTGGAGACGGAAGTAGGATCAGTTAGGGATTTGCCAAACCGTCCTACAATGGAAGCTCCCTCGGGTTAGGATCGGTGTCCGTAAATGAACAAGACAAGGAACGACATTTTTAGGTTTATGGGAACGAGATTCTATGTCATGGGGTTTGATGTTTTGACTAGCATGAATCTAAGCTCCACTATACATAAAAATGAGGTTGTCAAGTAGAGCTAGTACGAGTTCTCTTTGTTAAGGAATCGAGGTTTAAGTATGCCATATAACAGGTTCCTCTTGCTCTAATATCGAGATTCTAAACTATATTTGGCATATGTTTTAATTCCTAAGTATCACTCTCGGGAATGGTTAACTATGTCAACTCTTGACAGGGAGAAGAGGCTAAAGCCACACCTCGATAAAGAAGTATCAACGTCTTATCTTGCAGTGCTTGAGATGTTGTACCCAGACGAGAATGAGAGGGGCAAAATATGACAACACATCAATAATTTTGTATGCAATAAAGCAGTCTTCTTACTCCTGACATTCATTTTTTACAGAGGAACAATGTTAGTTATTTCGTGGCGGGATCTATATGGTGAGGTCCTGAATTATATTCACTAGTTGTTAAGGTGTTGTCTCAGAGTGTCAACTAATCATGTGCTGAGAGGTGTTGGAGTGCATATAATTATATTTACAATGTTAAGCGGAACATGTTAAATGCTCAATGCTCCAAGTCATTGGTTTATGTTCATCACAATGATAGATTGTTAAGTAGACTACGATCAGACTATGCGGAAAACTACAAAGGATGGGATGTTCATCCTGATGATGATCACCTCGAGGATGATGTTGGGGCATTAGAAGCATGAGGCGACCGCATTGATGCGGATGATGAGGCTTCTCAGAGTGCTCCATTACCAAGGCATGTCCCTCCCACTACATCTTCACACCATCACATAAGTTTGGCGTGCATCATTCCCTCGGAGTCCCCAGCAACTCAGTATCCTACTACTCAAAGGTCACCTTCTTCGAATGTAGTCTCCTCTGCTTTCATTGTTTCTCAAAGGCTGGCTTTCCGAAAGGGCAAGAGGACAAGATGAACTTCTCTCTCTCTCTCTATCTCTCTCTCTGATGTAAAAGAAGATTTTTAAAGAGTGAAATGAAAGCATATATTCGCATCTCACAATTAAGAGGATCCATCATTGTAATTTAAGAATCTAAAAAAATAGGACATCATAAATACAAGATTTTAAATGAAATATATATTCTCACAACTAAGAGGGATGGCTTACACAATAAAACTTAATAAAACAATGAGTCACTCTAGACTATGCTTTGTTCAAATTAAGAATCCAAAATAATGAAACTTTGTGCTATGCAAAAAAAAGACTGGATTTTAACATCAGGGAACTTATGATTCCTAAATAATGAGAACTTGGGACAATGGCAATCTCTAACATGGAATCATTTGTTAATGAAAGTAGATCCCATAAACATGTAACCCAAGATTTTAATGTACTAAAACCTTGGACCATGGTTGATGGGAGCAGGGATCTATTTTGAAATGGAACTGGATTTCACTGATGGATGGAACGTGGTCCCCTTTTTTTGGGAACGAGATCCCAAGATCGAAAAACCGGAGTCCCTACAATATCCCTTGCAAGAACCATGGGATCGAGATTCTGGAGCGGAATCGTCACCCCACCCACATGGTTCCCTTATAATAGTCCTAGTAAATAAGTACAACATTATACATAAGAGGTCATGTCTACAAATTATAACAATTACATTTGAAACCTTGTCATCCCTGTAAAGCAAGAGAAAGTGATCAAGGGTTACTAGCTCAGCCATGGAAAATGAATACTGGCTTTTCAGAAAGGATTTAGTGGAAATGTCATCAAAATCGTGACTTGGTTTCCACATTTTAAATTTTGATACCATGCAAAAGGTCTCCTATCCCATTCAGAAGTTTGATTTTCATAGAAAACAGAACTAGATGCAGTATATCAGGACAGAGAACAAAGCAATGGTATTAACCATTGTTAGCCAATACATAAGGCACAAGAAATGAAACAAAATTCAGGGGTTATCTCCCCACCATTAACATTAACTACCATTAACATAAAAATAAATAAATCAATAACAAAAAACTTCACGTTCAACCACTAATGGCAACTAAGAATTAAATCAAAGAATCAAAAGAAATCATTCCCTGTGAAAAACAAGAAAGAGGATTTAAAATAATACTACTATACACCTAGCTTTCATAGAATAATTTGACAGAAAAAAGAACATCAAGCAATCAAGTAAACATTAGATAATGATATTTAAAATAGAATAACCTTTTCTAAATTCCGACCATTCACGCTTTCGCACATGGTGAGAAGCATCTAGAGGGGGCAAAAAACCCTAACAAACAAAGACCAAAATGGCTCAGCTTTTAAATAAATACTTGATAATGTTAACTAGTGCCTTACTAAAAACAAATAAACCATGCTATACAAGAAATAAAATCCATACCACATATTTTAAGCTACTATGTTTGGGAAAGGGGCTACACCTTAAATATTGGGGCATCTTGAGATACTGAAGAATTTTACAAGGAATGGTGCCCCACTCGAATATAATAAGAATGATGATAATGATCTAGAAAGAGATGATCATGATAAGGATTAACATAATAAGGATTTAACATGATATATTGTAATCTCTTTGTATGGTAATATCTTTCTATCTGTACATATTTGTGGTAAACACATCTTTGATTGAGTCATGGATGAGTACATAACTATTATAAATAGAACCCACATCCCTCTCTATGGGTGTGGAGAATTTACACAAACATTGTTATCTAAATTTCTTCATGGTACCATAGCAATGAGGAGGACCTAGAAATCTGGAAATCTAGAGAGAGGAGGACCTAGAAATCTGGATATCTAGAGAGAGAGATAGCAATGAAGGACGAGAGCTGAATTTCAGAAATCTAGAGAGAGAGAGAGAGAGAGATAGCACTGAAGGATGAGAGCCGAATTTTTTTAATGCAAAGTTTTTGAGGGATGAGAGCTGATGCAAAATTTTATTTTGAGAGATGAGAACATCAGGGTGAGAGATGAGAGCTGCTGCAAATAAATAAATAAAAATTGGATGCAAAAATTTTGAGGGACGATACAAGAGCTATTTGATGAGGGAGAGCTGATGCAAAAAATAAATAGAAATTGGATGCAAAAATTTTGAGGGACGAGACGAGAGCTAATTGGATGCAAAAATTGTTAGAGGGACGAGACAAGAGCTATTTGATGAGGGAGAGCTGTTACCAAAAAAAGAAATTGGATGCAAAAATTCATGAGGGACGAGACAAGAACTATTTGATGAGGGAAAGCTGATGCCAAAAGAAAAAAATTGGATGCAAAAGTTTTCGAGGGACAAGAGGAGAGCTATTTGATGAGGGAGAGCTGATGCCCAAAAAAAAAAAAATTTGATGTAAAAATTTATAAGGGACGAGAGTGGATGCTAACAAGAACAGAATTTTTTTTTTTTCGGTAATCACCCATGTCGGTCAAGGTGAAGTTTTTTTTTGCTCCCTAAATTTCTTGATAATATTCATCATTGTCATTCGGTAAAGTTGAACCAGAATCCTTGGATAATGTCTTTTTATCATCAAACACTACTACCTATTCACGAGAACATGAAAATCCGTGCATGAATTAGTATATTCTATCTCAACAGAGCCATTGTTCCTAACTAATGGAAACCAGCCAGTAGTATTGCCTAAGCATGACATTATTCTAAACAAAACAGAGCATAGATTTTTTATTGAGGGTCACACCAACCATGGTCTATGGAAACCCATTTTCATCTGTACCAACTTAGCCAGAAAAAAAAAAGACCACACAGTAAAGGTTCATTATTCACCAGCAAAAACATGTGATACAAATTGAAACGCATGAAATCAACAACTAAAGCAGTAACATGTAACATTGAAACGCACCAAATCAACAATTAAACTTCTTGGACACCAGATTTCAAGTTTGAAAGCGAAAACACCATATATCTTCATCATCCAAGGTCTAGAGCATTTTCCACACAAAAAAATGCATATTTGCCAACTCCAGCTAAAAATCCAACGCTTCTGATTCCAGAAACCAATGGCAAGAACTGAAGTAGAATAAACCCAGAACCAGATTAATCGAGATGGAAACTACGAAGTTAAGAAGGGGAAGATTACCTCATCAACCCTAAAAATGGCTGCTGGAAGAGAGAGAGAGCGAGGTGCATGAAAGAGCGAGGTGAACGAAAGACGGGGAATGAACAGAAACCGACCGGCTAGATCGGTACAGGAAGGTACGGATTCCGGTTAAGGCCGGTTTTTTTGGTACTAGTAAAAATTCGAGGACCTTTAAAAACAATGAGCACCAAAACCGGCAGGTTCGAGTTCGAACCAACAGTTTTATTTCAAAATCGGCCGATTTCTACTAATCGGTCCGGTTTTCTCACAAACGATATATCGGACATAACAGTATTCTATTAAATAACGGCCGTTATTTCACAAAGAAGCTGTTATTTGGGGCTGATTTTGACTCTAAAAAATATGTGTTCTTTGGCTCATTTTAGGGTTCTTAAAAAAAAAAAAATTTGTTTCTTAATAAAATTATGGTCTTTTTTTTTATAAATATATTATTTGTGATGAATATGAGAAATATTAGATTCTTTCTTTTTAATTTTATATATTTTTGGTGACCTTGTTGGATTGTTTTTAATATTATATTTTTTTTTACAAAAATATGTCTTTTTGTGATGAATATGAGAAAAAAATTTCTTTCTTTTTAATGTTATATATTTTTGGTGAGCTTGTTGGATTGTTTTTAATGTTATATATATATATTTTTTTTACAAAAAGATGTTTTTTTTATGAATATGAGAAAAAAGTATTTCTTTCTTTTAGATGTTATATATTTTTGGTGAGCTTGTTGAATTGTTATATATATATATATATCTATATACAAAAATATGTTTTTTATGATGAATATGAGAAAAATATTTCTTTCTTTTTAATGTTATATAATTTTTATGAGCTTCTTGAATTATTTTTAAGGTTATATTTTTTTTTACAAAAATAGGTTTTTTTTTGTGATGAATATGCGAAAAAAACTATTTATTTCCTTTTAATGTTATATATTTTTGGTGAGCTTGTTGGATTGCTTGTAATGTTATATATATTTTTTATAAAAGTATGGTTTTTTGTTCTACTTTCTTTTTCCGTGTGGAAATGTGGAATGAGTTTGTGTTGACTAAATAGTATCAAAACATTCACGTTTCTTGATTAAGTTTACACTGAATTCCTTGGGCTTTTGATAGGAAATCATAGGACGTAGTAAATGTACTCTATTTTTTTTGTTACATTTCACAAATTTCCAGCCACATCTAGTTTGGACTTTGGAACAGTTACGACCCCGTTTGCCTTTCCCCTTATTCTTTTACCTAAAAAAATGTAAACTTTCTACTTATTCTCCTTATAGTGGACAACATAATATATTAATGATGGAGTTTCTATGAGTAAAATTCACCTTAAAGAGATTCTCACTCAAAATTTTAGAGATTCATCATCTAAGCCAAGCTGATTGTAAATATAAAATAATAATAATAATAGCAAAATGATCTTGTAAGACCTTTCTACACTCATGTCTATAAGACTCCAAAGGATCCCCGTTAAATTTGATACAGATCTTTAGAAAAATCAAATCCCACACTTATATTATAACTTTTTTATAGATCTGTACCACATTTAATAGTGGTCTTTTAAAATTCTACACACATAGATGTGGGAGGGTCTCATATGATCATTACTATATATATATATATATATATATATTATGTTTTGAAACCATCCGTATCTGATTTGACCATGTGTACTTTACGCAACGTCCATCTTAAAAATGGAGGTTGAAGAGTTAGCGAGCTCTTGTACCCGTTGACTCGACCCTTCTCCAAATATTAAATCAAGGGGTTTCTATAAGTCCACAATGCAGCAATGCCCCCTTAAATAATATATCTTTGAAAGACCTTATTTTTAAAGAAGTAGAGGTCATTAATGCATTAAAAAAATAAAAAGTATTATTTTTTAGAAAAAATATTTAAGCCATCGGTTTCCTTTTCTTTGGAGGGATCATCACTTACATCCATCATTAGATGGATGGTTTATGAATGTAGAAATGTGTCCCCAAAAACTACTAGTTATTTATTCTCAATTTTTCTTTTTTTATAAACTTTTTGTACACAATAACACGAGGAAATAGCGAATAGTATTTTTTGGGTGTGAATATCAAATAGATGGTGACGATAGAAAGAACCCCTAGATAAATAATGCCTGCAATTTTTTTTGGGTAGGAAATCTGATGTATGTTGTAAAACATTTTCCTAAATATTCGTTTCCAAAATAATGAAACGAAGAGGGGAAAAATTTTAATTGAAAAGGTCTGCTCTTCTCAGTTATATTTTGATCTATTCCCGCCCAGAAATACATGGGCTTTATTGGGTGGGAATAGCAAATACAAAATGCTGTGCATAAATATAACATATAATAAGGGAGTATAGTGTACTTCTGCAGGAGCACACTATACATTTACTTTTTCGAGCAAAGGAGCTACTCATGAATATTTTCTGAAGATCAATTTTAGAATCATTAAATGGGTATTTTTGAATGACAGAAAGAAAAAAAAGAAGACTATCTAATCCTTCAAAAAATAAACAATCTAATTTTTCAAACTTTAGAATTAAGGACATTATGTGTCTAAACTCGGGAAAGGTTTCTATACTTCCCCTACAACATAGAAGATATGTACTTCTCCTACTATCCAGCCGTCCAATTTTGATCAAGAGAGCCACTCACCATTTGACCTTAGATCCGACATCTCAAATTATTTTATTTTTATTTTTTTATACAAACTGTATGAATATGAAATTTGGTACGTGTCATTTTCTCATTAGGGCGCACTTATAAAAAATATTAAAATAGTTTTTCGATAAAATATAATAACCAAAATATCCCTTGAAACTTTCAAGGGTATTTTAGTCATTTATTTATTGGAAATATTTTTTCAATAATTTTCACTAGTGCAAGTTAAACATAGGATTAGGCGTCCAAAATTTGGTATCAAAATAGTTTATAGAAAAAAATTAAAAATAAAATAGTATAGAGACGTGACGTTGTGATTGGGGCAATCTTAGCCCTCCATTCAGATTGGAGGGTTGGATAAAGGGAAGTATATAAGTTTTATGCTGTAGGGAAAACATAGAAAGCTTGCCCCCTAAAATTTGGGTCCACAATTACTTCTAGATAAAGTTTTACTCGAGGGAGTGAATGGACAATATGCTCCGGCGCTTGCAAGAGCATATAAACTTTTGTCATACGCAATTTTTTCCACGGATAAAATGGTACTTTGCCTCGTTGGTTTATTATTTGGAATGCTATAATGTCCAATTTATAGTATTGTAATGTAGATAATGGTTTTTTATAAGAACTATACACAAGGTTTGTATGCCACGTTAGTACTCGAATTTCTACAGTGCACTAAGCACCTTCCCAATCGTCTGTCTCAACAGTAGATGGTTGGCCTGTGGGTGTGCATTTCTATGATGAAAGTCCATCAAATTTTCTGAGTGAATTTGAACAGCAGATCAACACCCCTTTACCGTCCCTTGTTGACATCTAACGGTTGTGCAAGGTGTTGGCAAAGGATAGGAAACTCAAACATTAGCATTAAAACTTTGCCTTATGCAATTGTCAAGTGAATTCTAGCATGACTAGCAACGTTCATGTTTTATGGGTGTTTCTTTTTAAAGTTTAAAGTTTAAATGATATAGTTAACTAAATCATCGTACACATGATTGTAGGTCGCGTTAGTAACTTGGTATGTGTGTTAATGGGCTTTTTTTTGTTTTTTTCATATGTAAATGAATTCTAGAATTGAATAACTTACGGGAAAACAGGACAGATAAAAAAGAAATACAAAAAGAAAAATGAAAAGAAAGAAAATAAGAGAAAAGTAAGATATGATAGAGAGTGGGAAGCATCCAAAATTTCTTTAAAAAGGTTCATGTCATTCTTGTGTACATAACAATGTTTTAAAACTAGGGCAAGTCCACTTTGCACTTGGAGTCAGTAGTTTGCTAAGTTCATGTGTACATAATCAGCTGAGCTTGGGTTTTCAATCGAGCTTCCATCAAAGTTAAGTTTTAAGCAATTTTCATGAGGAGACATCCAAACAGCATTTCGAGTCTGTCTGTCATTATTAAACTTAGCAACTTCAGATTGGTTCTAAAAAATATATGATTTTGGGGTGAACTTACAATCCGTGTTTGTTGAAAACCATTCAGTTGCTATTACTAAGGTGTTAGACTCCAAAACTTCAATCTCACTTTGTGTCCCTTCAAATTCTTCTATTTTTCTCTTTCCAAATATTCCAAAAAGTGCTCACCTATAAAGCTCTACATAGCATAGTGCCAACTTTTGACAGACCAATGTTCATCTATTGAGAGAGGATCAACTCTAGGCTTTGTGGGATCAAGATATTTAGATTCAACAACTTTCTACACCAATCTTACATGCTTAGTGTGAAAGGACAATGTAAACAAAATATGATCCACACTTTCGTTATCCCTCAAACATAGCCTACAAATATTGACAATTATGAAACCTCTCTTACGAACGTTATCCACAGTAGACAACTTTTTTTGAAGAGCTACCCACAAAAATAATTGAACCTTTAGCGGCACCTGCAAATTCCAAATTCTTACTAAATTACGATCAATCACTCTGTGATTCTCCTCATGCAGTGGTCGATAGACAGACCACCACTTAGTCAATATGCTAATGTTCATCAATTTGAGCTTTTTAAGTTCTAGACCCCTATCTCTCTTGGTAGTGCATACCTTTTTCCAATTCATGATTTTCAGCTTTTTTCCCATTCCTACATTGCCCCATAAAAAAAATCTCATAATGTTTTCCAAAGTCTTCACCACCTGCTTTGGCATTATGAAAATCAACATAAAATAAATGGGTAAGTTGGACAAAGTAGAGTTGATAAGAGTAGATCTTCCTACACACTTTAGATTTCCATAGATCCAATTTCTTATTAAATCTTTCGATAATAAGATCCCAAATAGCTGGCAATTGGTTTCCTCCAAATAAAGGAATACCCAAATATTTGCAATGAAACTTGC